AAAAATTTAGTTAGATGGATAATGTGCTGTGTATTAGTTATCTTCCTGGGTTTACTTCATTAATTTTTATCTTAATTTGTTTGAGTTTGCTTCTAGTTAAGGAGTTCTTTATTGGCAACAGTTTTTTGTTTGCTGGTAGTGAAATTGTTAGGACTTACTTGTTCTCTGTCACACTGGGATAACAGATCCAGCTGATTTCAGGTAGAGTTCAGGAGTCTGGATTTGTTAGTGAAAAATGCACATTAAAATTACACCTGCTAAATATGTACTCCTAGGTTTCCACTGAGTTAAAAATTAGTTAGGCACCAGAAATAAAAATCTCAGTGAAATATTGGTTAAAATTTGGGTAGATTCCATGCTGGTCATTTCCCATGCCATAATGAAACGTAAAAATTGACAAAACTCAGTAGTGTCTTTCTGAGGGATAAATCAAAATAGAAAAGGATTCAAGTGAAATGCTGGATGTTTCATAAGGTGTATTTAAACTTTGAAGACCTTTCAGCATGAATTTCCAATGTCCAATATTGGAAAAAGTGGTTTTCATTATTATTGTCATCAAAGTAGATCTTGGAGTTGGGTTATATGTGGGTTTTGATGCTGTTTGAATGTTGCCTGAAGTTGTTTTCTAAGATTTGTTCGAAGGAAAATGTCTTGGTTATATTTGTGTGATGTGTTCTTAGGAAACACTGGATTTTTTTTCTTTAGAGGTAAATGGCATTTCCCAAACTTATTGAACTTGAAAGCAAAGTTGAAGTAAATATTTTTCTTTTTAATTTGCCTATCACCAATAAGTAAAATCCAAAAAGTGATGACATTTTGCAATTTCTGGATGGAGACATTGATGTAGAATATTGTTTTTTTTAAAGCAAGAGGGGCAGTGAGTCTGCAGCCCGTGGTAGCCTGAGGTTTTTTTTCAGCAGTCTCAGAGAAAGCAGTTCTGTAAGAATGCACAGATACAAACACAATGGCTGGTTTGAATCCTTATTGCACATCTCTTAATTTCTTGTTTTTAAGCTAAAGCCGAAGTTTATTTTAAAGTAAGCAAGCCAGGAATTGTCATCTGGTAAGAATACTGTTATTGAGAAAGCACTTAGGTCAAATGGGCACCTTCTGGAAGATTGAGAAATACTAAGTCAAATAAAGAAAAAAATAAAATTCTGAGGATAGGGAAAATTTTAACAACATTTTGCAAGGTGCCAGTACCATTTGCAAAAGCATATGTCCTGCCCTCCCTTGCAGTTAAAGTTGTCCTGCAAGGGAGATGAAGCCAAAAGTAAATGGAGTATAAGTAATTCAGTGGGAATAGGAGGAGTTTGTTAGCAATTACTCCAAGTTTCACAAGTTAAATTAAAAAAAAAAGAGTAATAAAGCTGTGGCCTTTTCTTTTAGATTCAAACCACAGACAACTAAAGTGAATGGAAGCTTATGATAGATATAAACAGTAAATGATATGGTTTACAGAAGTGATTTTAATAAACTCATTTGGAACAAAAGTGATCTCAAAAATGGCCTGAGTTCCTGGCTAAATTTGGAGAAGAATCAGGAAAAAAGAAGAGTGTCCTGCTGTTATTTCTGTGTGGTGTTTGGGTGAAGAAGAATGCTGATAAAATAATTTCAGCTGCAACAGAAACCAGTGAGATTGTTTAAACAGTGCTATTGGAGGTTTTTATTTTAAAATCTAGAACATGGATGTACAACAGTATTTTTCACACTTGAACATTGGTAAGGCTCAAAAGAACTGTATGTAATGATTTTTTTATTTCTTTTGGTGGGGAAGGAAGGGAAAGATGTATAGTTGCTAGTGAAATTGATAGTTGCCCAAGAATAGTGTAGCAACTGAATTGAACAGGAAGTTTATAGTGCAGTCTTTATGGCTTAGATGGAGTAAATTGAAAAATACGTATTTTAATGTTGTCTTAAATATCATAAATACTTAAAAATGCTCTCTTCTCTTATGGGCTTTTATGTGCAGTTTGCATGGGTGTCTAGAATGTTTAATTCTCCCTGCAGACAGAGCAGGCAGTTGTCACCCAGTAGGAAACAGTAGACAAAAGCACTCAACTCTTGAACATGGCAATAGGTCCTTTATTTTGTTTGGATTCTGAGCTCTGTGCTTGGTCAAAGAGTAGTTGTCTAAGAGAGAAGTGTCTGAATCTTCTCGACCTCCCTTAAGTTGAAAGGGTCTACAGACCTTCATTTTTCCCAAAGATGGAGATTCCACAGCATCTTTAGGCAACCAGTCCTTAACCATGCTTGTTATGGAAAAATATCTTACTTATTCTTTCTTCAGGGACAGTTGCTGGAATTCTGCCTCTTTTGGCTCTTCCAGGTGAGCTGGGTGTTGCTCTCTGAGAATTCTATATTTCTTCACTAGTTAAACTGGACAAAAGTATATTTAAGCAGTTGTGTACAGGGTGTCCGAGCCTTAGTGGGAGCTGGTGCTGGAGGTTGGCTTCTTTTTTGATGTAGGTACTTGAGGTTGGTAACTTAAGGGTGCTGCAGCCTCCCCTGGGGGTAAATTTTTGTTAGGCAGATTCTGATTTTTCAGCAAGGTCAGATTATCTGGGATCTGAAGATGCCAGATGGAAACCAATGGAAAATGTCCCTTGTCCTCAGTTCCCTGGGGGCTTATTGACCCCTTGTTCAAAAAGTGTATTAATGCTGTGGTACTTCATTTGTTTCATTCTATAGATACTGGTTATGCTTTCCTGAAAGATGGGAGTGTGCTACTGCCCACAGCTATCCTGGATGTGTGCCCTGTAGTTTGGAAATAGGAATATATTAAGCTTGTAGGGTTTGTGGCTTGTTTTTTTTCATTGTTTTATTTTTGATCGTGATGGAGCAGTATTCAGTTAAAGTTACTTCTGAAACTGGTTTCTTGTAATGAAAATGTTTTACCTTCCGAAGTTTCAGTTGGCTTAGTAAGTGATTTTTTTAAATGTCTCTGGTATATTTGTGTAATAATTTTTCATTGTATGTAAGTGTAACTGGAGCACAGGCTTAATGACATCTGAAGGAAAACTTTTGGCCTGTGATTATGTGTAGCTAACTGAAGGAGGTTTTTTCCCCAAATATTTCACTTTTCTGTTGGTTTAATGGCTTTATTAGATGAATGGTGTTTCTATTTGAGTTAATTTTTTGAGAGGAGATTTAAAGATAAATAGTCACCATTAACACGATGTTAACATTTATTTGCCTTTAGTATGATGATTTTGGCTTAGGGCAGTCTGCAAGTCTTAGAAAAGTCCTTATAAACACTTATTCCCTGAAGATATTCCAGGTAGAGGAGAGAACAAAGAAAGGTTGTGGGTTTTATAGTTTTTTTGTCAGTCTGTCTGTTAATGGTAGTATTAAAATGGTCTGTTAGAAACATTTTTGAAA